TGACCCCAAAGACCATATCTCATACTGTGAGCACTTTTCTAAGTGCTTCGTGATGACTGCCTGCTTCTTAATCCCCGTATCGGCTTTATGTGAGACCAGGCACCACCTTAGGCTCCTATCTGTCCGTCGATCAAATTGGCCACACATACAGATTGGTATTGTTAGTCGCACAGGCTGGCCCTAACGACTTAAGCCAAACATGAAAAATTGGAGCGACGTGTGATAAATGCTGAACTGCCTGCCGGGAGCTCCAAGTAAAGGAAAGCTCGGGAAAAGAAACGTCAGACCTGTGATTCAATGTTTGTCTGTCATTATCTTCCTCTTCGGTTCAGTTTGGAAGACAACAGCTGTTATGAAATTCATCCGGTAACTCGGTTGGCATTTACTTGCAAATGTAATTAGATTTTGCGCATCAGCCACTGAGACTGTCCTCCTAAAAATGTGTTAAAAATCCAATTGTTGTGCTTGCTGTTGTTCCGTCCGAAAGTGGTGGTCCTCTCCTGCCCTTCACCGCGTTTAGATCCATTTTCAGGTGTTGTGTTGTTGTAGAGACTGTTGACGTTTTAGGTGGAGATCTGTGCTTGGCGCATTTGAAGTTGAAAAAGATAAAAACATTCAGTGTAAGTTTTAGGAAAATAGTTGATTGTTCTCGTACCACAAATAGACCTAAAATACTTTGGTAATTTTGGCGGTTATTTTTGACTGAGATACATTTGATATCCTTACTAATTAGTTTTAAACTGTATTTGTCAATCATACAGGGTTTCCCCAAAGTCACGACAGACAAGGGCTGCAACCAACAATTAATATAATAAGTGCTTAATCTGTTGATTATTTTGTTTACTTGATAAATCAATTTAAAAAAAAATCCATCCCTTTATTCAAAAACGGGACATTAATTCAAATTTGCACAGAATGCACACATTTAAATTCTGATTCAGTCACCGGTTTGGTCTGTAACGTTAAAATACACCACGATGTTGAACATTGTTTTTCAAAGTAAAAGCAGATATTTGCAAATGTTTTATTTTGATTCAATGATCATCGGTATGCTTGCACTGAGGACTACAGACATCAGAGCATATTTACTTATAGGCTGATATACAGAATTTAAAATTAAACAAGGTAAACAGATTCATAAAAAAACCTTCATTTGCTCATCGATAATAGTTGTCGATAGAGTTTTGCAAACTCTATTTCAGACCAGAAGCGTTTTCGTGAATATTGCAGGGTTCCCATGGGATCGCAGTCAACTATACCTTTAATCACGGGATTGGGAAGGTACAGGATAAAAAGTTAACTGGCCACCAAAATGGGAGCCTAATGGAAGTGGGAGTCATGATTTTTTTTAAAAATTGTTTTGCTGTTTTTGCTCTGGTCCAGGACTGCGATGAGACCGCATTTTTACTGTGGGAGTGGGCTGGGACGGGAGTGAAAATCCACTCGCGTGTCACCCTCTAGTACAGACTTCTTTTAGTTCCATGTATTATGCAGACCCATGTGTGGGCATCGACATTTGACCGCTTAGGCTTTGTACTTTTTATAAACATCTCATTCCCTTGACATTGCGACTGCATTGCCAAATTGCCACGTGGCAATATAAGCGAGCAATAAGACCTGGCATTCAGCTTTATGGCTGTCACACTGATCAAATGTGAAGCACTATTTAGGCTTCAGATTGTTGAGCATCATAATCTTCTGGTTGAAGCCTTTGATCAAAATGAAGTAATCACACGTAAAGCTTTTTTGTCCCCCAAAGCAGCCGCTGAATTCTTGATGCTGAGTTCAAGTGCAGTCCCCTGTATAGCTTTTACATGGCATTGCACGAGCGCCTGCTCTTAGAGTTCTGTGTTTTAATCAGTGGTAGGAGCAGGCCACACGCTGCGTGGTTTGTCAAAAACAGATCCGGTTTTCAGAAACCTGCCATAGGTAGTGTAAATTGTTGCTTCTTAAACTGCCCCTGAAGTAATCCCTAAAAGTCATTTGGATTAAGCCTTCAATGCCGAATTCTCAAGAGTTGGTTAAAAGCAATGCAAGCGGTGATGAGCGCGTCCCCTTATCAGCGGGAGAGTTTAAGTGGTATTTAAATGAAGTATTTACAGAAGGAATGCAAAGTGTGGGTAACAGGCCTCCAAGTTGGCACCCAAACTCATACACAGACAACTTGCCAGTCTCTAGGGAGTCATTTGTGCACCATCAGGCTATCAGTAGGAGGCTTTTACAGGCCACTATGTTGCCGGCTTACTACTCCTGGAAGAGTGTCGGTGATCAATTTCCACCCCACTCCCCTGTAATCTGCTTCCTCAGAGATGTGGGGTCATCTAGCCATATGGGCTTGAATGATGTGGTGTGTGTGTATGTGTGTGTGTGCGTGTGTGCGTGCGTGCGTGCGTGTGTGTGAGAGAGATCTTTCCCTCCGCAAGATTGATTGCCATCATCTCAAAGGACTATTGAATTAGCCGTGATCAGAGAGGCTCACTACAGCATTGAGAGGAGGATTCGGCATGCATGCACACCTCTCATACGATACACTTCTATAATGTCTGAACCAATTTTTTCAATCTTTTTACGTCATTCTAGACAAACAGACTAAACCCTGTTTACAGATTTATTATTTTTTTTTCTTTCGTTTAAATTGGCCGGACACCAACTTACATTATCTCCAACGTAAAAACAACCTGACCCTTTTGTCATTTTTGTGACATGTGGCAACATTCAAATAAATAGGGGTGTAACAAAATTAATTGAATCAGAAATAGGATTCTATTTATTTAAAAGATGTGAGTGTATCGAACCGAATCAAATTGTTCTACTTAACTTATATTGAGGTATTGCATCGTGTTTTAATTAAAGACGTGAGATGTCTTTGAAAGAAATCCCATGGAATCAAACCAAATCGAATCATTCCACTTTAAAACAAGTCGTCTTGGAATTGTACCACACCCCGTATGTCGAGATACATATTGAATTGTCTTTTATTGGAGAGAAGCGCACCTCTGCAAATCAACTTTCCTCCGTGAAATGAATGCAAAGGCCATTTATCCATTTCAGAACTCCTCTCCAACAGAAATGGCACTGTAATAGTTGACTGTATGAAAAGAGTCAGAAGTAGATTTTACAATGGAAACAAAATCTAACGGTATGCACATCAATGTCTGGTTGCAATCCAGTTCATTGTGCTGCTCCTTGTGGTCTGCCCGCCTTGGCCACCAGGAGGCAGTTTAATATGGTCATGCACACACACATGAAGAAGAATAGTACAGTACTTTCTCATATCATTTTTTTTTTCATAGAGGATTAAAAAATATTTGATTTTATTAGTTTTATTACATAATCTGTCTATGCGTTGTTGCTAGAAATGGGTACCTTTTACATTCGAACCAGTTCTCAGTACCTGGGAATCGATAACAGGACTCAGCAGTACCAATTTCCATCTCAATGTTGTTTTTCAGTATAATTTAGCATTAAGCTATGGGACTTGCCAAAAGGCAAAGGCAAAACCATTGGTTCGTTTTAAATAAACAATGTGTAATACTCTTACTATTCTATGTTTAGTTTGACAGTAAAATTTAACTGGGATTGCCATTGCTTGGCTTGAAGCCTCTTTTTTGAAAATCTTTTGCTATTTGCCGAACTGCTGCTGTTGCACCCTGTTTGCTGACCTGCATAACCCACACAAAGATGTCCAACTCCATTTCCTTAAGCTGTGTCTTCATCCAGGTGATAGACAGAACCTATTAGGAAAGACGGCGCTCAGTCATTTTTTGTTAAGCTGCAATCTCTGAGTTGCCTCTGCGTCTGTTTTAGACTTTGACATTTTCTCCTCACTTTTCAATTCTCATCCATCCATTTTGCTCTCGTCACCAGAGTGGAAGCTGTTATCTTTGGGTGAGCAGTTCCATGGTTCTCATTCTCATTGGAGGTCACTTGCTTCCTCTATTGTCCCTTTCCACTGCGTCTGAAGTTATTGCCCCTCGCTCCCTATGCGAAGGACTGTTCACTCTTAATTATCACACTCTGTTTGATAATGTCCCCCTCCCTGTCTGTCAAAAAGATTGGATGCCTGGTAACATTTCCATTTCCTTAACTGAAGCATGCCCGATTGTGTACACAATGTTTGTGTACGTGCTTCTCGTACAATGTAAATGGGGCAAAGTTCCCTCCCTCTCCTCATCCATTTTCAAGTGTGGCTGAAAATGACGTACACAAAGAGAAACGTGCCGCTACAGGCTCTCTCACAAATGCAAACAACCACCGTGTGCACGCACGCAAATTGGCAATGCAATGGAATCAAAAGGGAAACCTAATTATATGGTTTCTGTTCTTCACTGGCATTTTTCTTCAAATGCCTGGTGACTTGATGCAAACAGCAAATTCAGCTGTCATGAGCCTTCAAATTACTTTGCATTAGCGTGGAAGAGTGGGAAATTATGTAAAAGATTCAAGGTTTTTAATAGATGAAGTCCCGACAACAAATAATGTGGGAATGCTCTTTGTCACGGAAGACTTTTGGATGTTTTGGTCTCAGTACAGTGGATTTAGCTTGCTTATTTGTGCACACTGTTCGTCTGTGAAAACACTGCATGCAGGCTTGTAGTTTAATAAACACCTAAGCTCCCTTCAGTGGTATTTTGGTGGATGATACTCGCCTCTACCATAAAGTCTTGTCCCTCCGAGTGGCTGTTGGCAGGAAGAGGAAATTGTGAGCTTCGCTTTAGCTCAGTAGTAGTTGAATCAATGCATCTGCCATTGTTTATTTTCTTAAGCTTGAAGTCCTTGCCCTTGGGACGCTCCCACTGTTCGAGGAGAAACACTCAAACCGCTCTGCCCGATTGGCTCAGTGTTGAATTGTTGACCGTGAGCCTGAGTAGAAGTGGTTTTCAGTCGATGTGACGTCGTGTGTGTATTTGCGACTTCCAAAACCTCAAATCCTCCAAGGAGCAGGAAAAACATTGGTTTTGAATCTAATGTTTGTCTCTTCTCTTCATCTTGCTCTGCAGGTGTTGGCACTTGAACGACAGGTCTTTGACTTCCTGGGTTACCAATGGGCGCCGATCCTAGCCAATTTTGTCCACATCATCATTGTCATCCTCGGCCTCTTCGGCACCATACAGTACCGACCACGCTACGTTGTGGTGGTGAGTGCCTATAACTGGTCCCAGTAAATCGTAGCAGTATTTGGATGCATGTATTGGATACAATTATTTCATTGTGTGTGTGTGTGTGTGTGTGTGTGTGTGTATATACATACCCAATTCTAATGAAGCTGGGATGTTGTATGAAACATCCATAAAAAAAGAATCCAATGATTTGCAAAACATGTTCATCCTATATTTAATGGAATACACTACAAAGACAAGATATGTCATGCTCACACTGATCAACTTAGAATTTTATGGTTGCAAGACGTTCCAAAAACACTGTGACAGAGTCATGTTGACCACTGTGTTACATCTTTACTTTTCACAACATTCAATAAACGTTTGGGAACTGAGGACACCAATTGTTGAGGCTGCGTAGATGAAATTCTTTCCCATTCTTGTTTGATGTACATCTTCAAGTGTTAAACACTTCATAATGTGCCACACATTTTCAGTGGGAGGCAGGTCTGGACTGCAGGCAGGCCAGTCAGGTATCTGCACTCTTTTACTACAAAGCCACATTATTTTAACACATGTAGAATGTGTCTTAGAATTGTATTGCTGAAATAATCAGTGGCATTGCTGAAAAATAAGTTGTTCCAATAATTTGCTCTGAATTTACAAGCGTGACAACGCAATAAATTAAACTCATATACCAAGGCCCCACTGTATTTTGATGTACAGGCCAGGTCTTCTTTACTTGTATATCTGTATTGTGCTCATGCAGACTGTCTTACACGGTTTCTTTTTATTTTCAACTTGAACTATTTGACAACTGGTGTAAGGTGTATTGTGTAAGTGTATTGTGCGACACCCTTCAACCATTGTAACTGTGGTAATTAGATCTAATTAAAGCAGGCTGGGCACGGTTGTGGGGCCTGGTGGGGTTCTCATCACAATTCTGGACAGTGAAGGTCACTCTTGTTACACAAATCATGACCGTAATAATCACGCATAGAATCACGGTAGAAGGGAATGAATATTCAAAGACATGTTATTTTGATAACTCACTTAAAACCCCTGAAACCGAGGGCAACTTTGCCAAAAACGTCTACGGAAAGGTGCACCCAAAGTAAATTTGTAGCTGTTCTTGAACCATTTGGAGTGTCATCATTGTGTTGGTCTCTTTTTGAAACATTCAAAATTTTATCATTATGAATATTTCTCCCATACAATAAGAATCTGTTTAAGTACTCCTGTCACTGAACTATGGATGTTCGAAAACAGAAGAAAAAGGCGAATCTTATGTTCGTCTAATTTCTTTTCACAAAATCTGCCTTGAAAATGGATTTAGAATGTTGATTCGGACTTGAAAACACTACAGGATCAAAGGTTGAGGTCTCCCCAAGTTCCGGTTCAAATTCGACAATTGTAACATGAAGGGTACCATTCAAATCTCCAGAAACTCAGCTTTTAAAAGATGTATAACATGTTCACACATGTACTCAGCTGACGACGTGCATCAGCGATTTGTTTTGACAGATGACGGAGGGCCCTTCGGCGGGCCCTCCTAACTCGAAGGGTTTCAAGGGGACGTCAACCCAAACATTGTTAAGATGTTTTATGCAGTCTAAACACTGTATTCTGATTAATATTGAATTTGTGGACTATGAGTTAAGCAGTAAAATTTACCTGTTCAGGACCGACCGTTCTGCCACTAGCAGCTGACTGAAAATTACATTATGGTTGCCCGGGGCTCAGGTAAGGACCAATCACATCTCAGCTTGCAAAGGTCGGATGACCAAACTCAGAGAACAGGTGAGGCGTGATTGGCCGTGAGCTGAGCCCTGAGCAACTGTGATGTCATTTTCAGTCGGCAGCAAGTGGCAACATAGAACACGTTATTGTCAAGAACATTTTTGACTTGATTTCCCCTTAAATTTCTACAACAGCTGCTACAAACAAGCAATTGTCATGTCATAAAAATGATTATCCTCTAAATGATTGTTCTTAAACATAAAGTAGAATTAAAACCTTTGGAAGTCAGATGATTACTCGTTTGGATATGTGCCCTCCCGAGCAATGACTCGAACATTTTTATCAGCAAAACTGAGAGAGGAATACGCCAGAGAAGAAAAGGAAGCTGTTTGACGCAGAATAGGGAGGTTGGCAAGCCGGGACGTTTTCATGATTCAACATCGAGAGTATGTTTTCAACAGAGCGCTGTTTATCTGTCTACATTTCCTCTGACACATTAATAACACAGCACTCAGCATGAGTCAGAAGATTTCCATGGAGTTATGTTGAGAGCTTTAAATTGTCCTGTCCCTCGAGGACTCAGTGATCACTTGATGTTCCAACATCATGGAATTAATGTTCAGTATCAAACCAGCAATTTTGTCAAAGGATACTTAATCTAGCAAGATACAGTGGATGAATTCAAAGTCATGTTGGTTGGTTCATGATCACGCGATTGCTGTTCATTCATGTTCAGGCATTCTGCCTTTATTTATTCCACAGGCACAACACATTTAAATCATACCATGTCTTTTGCACTATTAAAATGAGTGACATAAAAGTGTGTCATGTTTTCTCCACACAAAGATTAAGGTTGTGTACTAGCACATGTAACGTTGATGTTATTTTTCCCTTCAGTATGCAGTTTGGGCGGCTCTCTGGGTGGCTTGGAATGTCTTCCTCATCTGCTTTTACCTGGACGTAGGCGGCCTGTCTAAGGTGAGGCTTGCTTTTCGAAATGGAAGTAAAATTAGATAACTGATATAACGTGGTTGCAGAAGTGTGCACACCCTCTTAAAAATGGGAATGTGACTGTGTTCGGAATTAACCGATCACATTCTAACCCATGTTAAATAGGAGTCAGCACACACCTGCCACCATTTAAAGTGGCTCTCATTAACCCCACGTGAATTACTAGTAGGTGTTTCCTGATCAGCCTGAAAGTTTTTGTGTGACCACTGACTGACTGATATTTTGAAGTGTACGTAATTCCCTCGACCCATGACTAAAGCCCCGGTTCCATTTGAAGAAAAGCACCCCCCTCTACATGATGCTAATGCCCACCTTGCTTCATGTACCTTTTAGAATCAGAAATGTCAACCTTGGTTTCATCAGCCCATAACACATTTTCCCACATGCTTTTGTTGATGAAGCCACGCTTGAACAGAACACAGCCACATATATCCCAGTTATTGCGGGGTGTGCAAACTTGTGTACATTTTCAATTTTTCTTCTATTAAATTGAGTTCAAGCCTAGCATTTGAACCTGGGTGTGTAAACTTTTTATATCCACTGTATATAAGCAGCCAACATGTCTTTCCCCGTAATGTTTCCGTAAATATTGCCCTGCCCCACTTTTCTTCCTCTCTTCTGAAAGGACATAATCCCCACCCCTTCCTCACATTGTTCTGTTCTCCCCCTTTGGCTGCCTGACCATTGAGAATAATGAATACATGCAGCTAATCTCGCACTTTCTCAGACACCCAAAATGAATTTCACAAGCACCTTCTCAAGCTCTGGTACCTCAGCCATTGTGTGAAAGACTTCAGCTCCCTAGCGTGCGTCTTGTCTATCACTTGACTCCACTATGCGCGTCTCTTATGCGTGTGCGTTTTTGTGTGCTGTCTAACGGAGCTTGTCGGGGCCAGCTGCTCAGGGCTGCGGCTGGGCATTAACCCAACAGATGGAGCCAGCCTGGGCTCCCAGCCTTTGCATATGCTGGCCAGGAGGAGAGTTGGCTAATGGAGCGTGGACACACACGCACTTGACACACACACACTCTGAACACACAGCTTTCTTTGAAACCCCTGACACATTTTATCATGAGACAGATTTGGCTAATTCAGTCAGACCTGCCTTGCACAACCTTGATAGGATGGTTTTGGGAGGAGTTTGTGGCGGTGCGTGTTGTATTAGAGGGCTAGAGCCCTGAAGCAGAGATGAGGTCATATGGTGCATGATCCGTCACCTCCTATTGATCCCCCAGCTTGTCCCCCCGGTGCAAGACAGATTGACAGACAGGCCCCTGACTCTCTGGACAAACCTTTGACCAACACGCTCATCCCTCGCATCTTTTCTCAATATATTTGACTTATTAGTTCTCACATTCATGTAATGTAAAAATATAACAGACTGATAAGTCAGTGTAATAACCATTATGAGTCATGAAGTTTTCCCCCGACAAGAGAATTGAAAAACCCTTTCGGCTGAATCATCAGATTAATTATTAAATGAGCAGATGTGGGAGAAAAGCAATTTGACTCCCACGAAAAACAAAAATTCAGCTCCTGAAACATTACTGTTGTTTAGCAAAGTCATGTGAACTGCTTCGCACAATAATTTTCATGTCGGATAAAATTAGAGGGAACATCATAAAAGACAAGTTGAACGAATAAAAAGATGCTACATGCGACATTGTGGAGACCAGTCTAAATCGGGATCATTTTAAAATAAAAATAATCTAAAAGAAAAACTCTGTTTACTTGATGGATCAACTGACTTCAGCTAAACTGATTTGAGCTAAAATAAGCTGATGAGTAGCTGAAGTTGGAGGGAAACAAAATGAATGGTGTCTCGAAGAGAATATTGTTTTGTTCAGGTTTTCATCTGTAATATTTTAGAGTCAACCTTAAAAGTCAAACAGCATTTTGACTTTTTTCCTCAATCCGTTTATTTCCTTCTTCATATCTGGAGTAAGGTGGAGGGGGCAGCATCTTAAGCAAAGCCCATTCTTCCCTCTCCCTTGGGGGGATCCCAAGATGCTCCCAGGTCAACTGAAAGACATAGTCTGTCGAGTGTTTCCTGGCCTCCCACCTGCGGTTCCGTGGCTGGGACACCTCACCAAAGGAGGTTTCCAAGAGGCCTGCCAAACAGATGCCCGAGCCCCCCCCCCAACTGGCTTCTCTCGTTAGCAGAGGAACAGCAACTACTCTGAGCCCCTCCCGGGCAAGTGATTCACTATCTATTTTCAAAGGAGAACCCTGCGGAGGCCGCTTTTATTTGCTTGTATTTTATTCTTTTGGTCATGACCCACCACCCTTGTGACCATAGGTGAGAGTGGGAACAGAGTAGATTGACCAGTAAATACCTGATGGAGGATCTCATCCCGCCCCGTAGATGGCATCCTGTGCTTGTATGCAGAAGCTTCCAAGCACAATCAATGACTTCTGTTTGCTATTAGTGTTCTCATTCTCCTTCACTGACCCTTAGACCACCGTCAAGTGTAAGAATTAAAAGAAGTGGAGTCCAAAAGTCAGAATAAATGCTCAACTAGGCAGTCAGTTTGTGGTTGAGGGTTGCATGATGTCGGAACAAGTACAGTGTATGTGTGTGTGTGGTTAATGAGATGCTTCAAGAAAACATGTGGCTCTGTTAATAATGTATGTCTGGTCACAGTGGGGCATATGGGAGCTTGGATTGCCATAGTGGAATATTGAGTGGTGTGTGCGTGTGCAGGATTAAATACCTGCTGATTAGACATCATTACGGCATTAAAGAGCCTCATTTCGAAACGGCCGACTTTGTAACTGTGATCTTTGAATCTGACCTATTTGTTTATTTGACACCTACGTGCTCATTGTGATTGACTGGCCAGGCTTTGTTTAATACAGTCAACCTTCATTATTCGCAGGGAATAGGGCCCGCACACAATGGAGACCCTGGAACACCCCTCCCCCCTGAACTCCAAATATTCAAAGAAAATAAAACGCTCAAAAAAATGCTCAAAGCAAAATGAGCGGACACAACGTGCTTATGTCAGATACACGCAGGAACTCTGAGGCAGAAGCGAAGCTATTTGGTAAACGGCTGGGGAAGTTGGCAAAAGTGTGGGAAAATTTCAGATGGAAATGCAAGCCAAGCACCAAGGCCTGTAATCATTGTAACACGGGCCTTGCTCTCCACGCCCAGTCTGAAACCACGTAGGACCTGAAACAAGGTAAAATTAACGTTCCGCAAATCACTGAGATTCATGTTAATGTACCTCACAAACATAACATTAGCCCTGCTGAGGGCTCGCAACTGGCTTCTCTCGTTAGCAGAGGAACAGCAACTACTCTGAGCCCCTCCCGGGCAAGTGATTCACTATCTATTTTCAAAGGAGAACCCTGCGGAGGCCGCTTTTATTTGCTTGTATTTTATTCTTTTGGTCATGACCCACCACCCTTGTGACCATAGGTGAGAGTGGGAACAGAGTAGATTGACCAGTAAATACCTGATGGAGGATCTCATCCCGCCCCGTAGATGGCATCCTGTGCTTGTATGCAGAAGCTTCCAAGCACAATCAATGACTTCTGTTTGCTATTAGTGTTCTCATTCTCCTTCACTGACCCTTAGACCACCGTCAAGTGTAAGAATTAAAAGAAGTGGAGTCCAAAAGTCAGAATAAATGCTCAACTAGGCAGTCAGTTTGTGGTTGAGGGCTATTAGTGTTCAAAGGTTGGGGACCCCTGCCTTAGACCACCGTCAAGTGTAAGAATTAAAAGAAGTGGAGTCCAAAAGTCAGAATAAATGCTCAACTAGGCAGTCAGTTTGTGGTTGAGGGTTGCATGATGTCGGAACAAGTACAGTGTATGTGTGTGTGTGGTTAATGAGATGCTTCAAGAAAACATGTGGCTCTGTTAATAATGTATGTCTGGTCACAGTGGGGCATATGGGAGCTTGGATTGCCATAGTGGAATATTGAGTGGTGTGTGCGTGTGCAGGATTAAATACCTGCTGATTAGACATCATTACGGCATTAAAGAGCCTCATTTCGAAACGGCCGACTTTGTAACTGTGATCTTTGAATCTGACCTATTTGTTTATTTGACACCTACGTGCTCATTGTGATTGACTGGCCAGGCTTTGTTTAATACAGTCAACCTTCATTATTCGCAGGGAATAGGGCCCGCACACAATGGAGACCCTGGAACACCCCTCCCCCCTGAACTCCAAATATTCAAAGAAAATAAAACGCTCAAAAAAATGCTCAAAGCAAAATGAGCGGACACAACGTGCTTATGTCAGATACACGCAGGAACTCTGAGGCAGAAGCGAAGCTATTTGGTAAACGGCTGGGGAAGTTGGCAAAAGTGTGGGAAAATTTCAGATGGAAATGCAAGCCAAGCACCAAGGCCTGTAATCATTGTAACACGGGCCTTGCTCTCCACGCCCAGTCTGAAACCACGTAGGACCTGAAACAAGGTAAAATTAACGTTCCGCAAATCACTGAGATTCATGTTAATGTACCTCACAAACATAACATTAGCCCTGCTGAGGGCTCGGTCTGTGTAAATTATGACTATTGGTGAATTTTTGACTTGTGTTGCACAGTGCAAGTGACAATATTTTGTTCTGTTTTAGTGAAGTCAGAAGAAGGAAATATTTGTTTCCTCTCAAGGTTTCTTTCTTTTAGTTTGAACACTTTTGAAACTTACAATTGATATTTGTGTTATTCCTTGTCTGCTGGTCTAATCTGAGACGCGCACAGCCTTGAACCTAAATATCAAGTCAAGTGAAATTGCACAAGGGCAGTGACTGGCTTTTTTTTCTTTTTGTATTACTTATGTTTTGGATCCAAGAAATGGTAAGTTTAAACTGAAATGTATATTTGTGCTTGATACTGACCCACAGAAAATGTGGAAAAGACAATAGTTTGTTGCTACGCAACACATGAATTGAAGAAATGGAAAAGATTGATGACACAAAAAAGGGAATCAATTGGTCTTTCCTTATTAAAG